TGGTGATGGGCACACTGGGTGCAGTGCCTAAAGACCTTGGCCTGCACTTAAACACAATCAGCACTGACAAAAATTACCATCTGCCAGCTGCAGAAGGCCACTTTACTGGGTTCTGCATACATTATTCGCTGATACATCACACAGTCCTAGACACTTGGGAAGTGACCGACGTGTGATCCAATTCAACAGCCAGCAGAGTGTCTGCTGTGGACTCATCTTGTTGTGTTTCAAATAATAATAATAATAAATATTAATTTATATTCCGCCCTATCTCCCCAAGGGGACCCAGAGTGGATCACAGTACACATACATGGCAAACATTTAATGCCGTTTTGGATAGACAATACAGAGACAGACAGAACAAAAGGAGGTATGTTGTGTCAACCAATGCCCAGCTTTCTGGCGCCTTGGAAAGTTTGTGCTTGAAATCCAGCCACAGGGGGGTGCTGTCGCTCCATCTCTATGATGAAGAGCCATCAGGACTTCCTCCTTCCTTTTGGTCACCTGGCATTTTCTGACCTTTTTCTTTATAGTAAATAACCTCCCACGCTTCTTTTAGTGGTACCTAATTTCTCTAATTACCACACAAGCTGTTTTCAAACAGCTTAGGTCAACAGTTAGCTGGGTTTGAAAGTCAGCAGCTCACGCTGACCCAGGGCTTCAGACTGGCAACCTTTCTGTTGGTAGATCTTATCGTTGCTGGTGATTTACCAGCTGTGCTAAACCCTGGCTCAATATAGCCTTTGTGTGGATTCAGCCATAATTATGGTGGAGCTGAAGATGTCTTCTCGACTTATGCCCTGCCCTCATCACATTGAAAACTCCATGTTTCATTCTACCATCAAGCACTCCTTCAAAGTTAAATTTTTCATTTTAGTCATGAAATTTAGAATCAAAAGGTTTAAAATCTGCCAAATCTCTGCCTGCCATTACACATATACAGAGAGAGCTCTTTCTACAGTCACATGGGTTTACAGGTCTGTTCCTGCCCAATAGCACTCCGGGTATTTATTTATTTATTTACAGTATTTATATTCCGTCCTTCTCACCCCGCAGGGGACTCAGGGCGGATTACAATGTACACATATATGGCAAACATTCAATGTCAATTTGACATACAACGTATAGAGACATACACAGAGGCTATTTAACTTTTTCTGGCTGTCAGGGGAGCTGTTGCTTTCATCGTCCATCTGCGACACTGATGAAGTACTTCCGCATTCCCCGCATGCTTTTGCTGGAGTGTTTTGCTGGAGTCTTTTTTATGACCTCGTAAATTAGTTAAATTGGCCTCTCCACACATAGGTGGTACCTAATTTTCCTACTTGACAGAGGCAACTGTCTTTCGGGTTGCAAAGGTCGACAACAAGCTACACAATTGGTCGGAAGCTCACTTCAACCCGGGCTGGCTTCGAACTCATGACCTTCTGGTCAGAAGTGATCTTAATGCAGCTGACACTCAGACAGCTGTGCCACAGTCCCAGTGTATTCAAAAGCTGAGGTGTGACTACTATCTCAAACATGAATAAAAGGCATTTGGTTCTGTTGTATACATTTCATCTTCTCTGAATGTTTTTCAAAAAATTGGAACACGAGTAAATATGGTTCAGATGTAGTATGATGACTGATGGTAGGCATGGACAATATTTTTCTTGAACCCCGGGATTACTGACAGTCCTCATGCCATGACCAGCCCTAAAAATTGCATCAGATGGTTATCATGATGTTGATTTGTATATCAATTGTCAGAGAGAATGGTGTGACACGAAATAACATCCTCATCCGCTTCTCAGAAAAGTGGCACATAGACAGTTGCATTTATATGACACATCTGCTTTCAAACTGATAATCAACTGGTGGTTTAGCTGCAACTATTCATAATTTTTTTAAAATTAGCAATTCATTTTGTAAAATTACTCTCCCACTTTTCTAAGACCTTTTTAAAAAATAATATTCTTCAAAGCTCTCATGATAAAATGCTATTAGTAAGCTTGTACTGCAATTCTGTAAACCCAGAAACTTTTGAATGATCCATCTGGCTCCTCTTCAAGAAAAAACAACATAATCCCCGCATCATTTTCCCTTATTTGTATATATTACCTCGTTTTTTTCAAGACTGCATTCCTCCATCATTTTGTCTCCTTGCTCCTGGAAAGTGATGATGATGAGAGCCACAAAGATATTAACGAAGAAAAAAGGAAAGACTACAAAATACACCACATAAAAAATGGACATCTCCATGCGGTTGCTGCGGCTGGGGCCACGGTCCTCCTCGGTCACATCCACAGAATGCTGCAAAACCCTGGAAGCAGAGTGAGTGTGAAAGAGAGAGAGAGAGAAAGAGTGAAAGAGAGAGAAGGGTCAGATGTTAATGGCATATCCATCTTCAATCCATATACCAATTTAACTTTACTTGGACAAAACGGCATAAATCGGATGGGTGTCCCAGGACTCTTCCACACAGTACTATATCCAAGAATATCAAGGCAGACTCAGCACATAGAAGATGTCTTTGAAAGGTAGCAGATCACAGAAGCTGTCTTCATAGACCTTATGATACTGCAAACCACCGCCTCCTAGGAAAAATGTATAATATCACAAAGGACTATCATCTCACCTGCCTCATAGGAAACTTGCTACAAAACAGGAGCTTTTTTGTTGAGTTCCAGGGCCAGAGAAGCAGATGGCGGAAACAGAAGAACGGCCTGCCTCAGGGGAGCGTGCTTGCTCCATCCATGTTCAGCATCTACACAAATAACCAACCACTGCCAGAAGGGACAGAGAGTTTCATCTATGCTGATGATCATGCCATCACCGCTCAAGCAGGGAGCTTTGAGATGGTTGAACAGAAGCTCTCCGAAGCTCTAGGTGCTCTTACTGCCTATTACAGGGAAAACCAGCTGATCCCTAACCCATCTAAAACACAGACATGTGCTTTTCACCTTAAGAACAGACAAGCATCCCAAGCTCTGAGGATTACCTGGGAAGGAATCCCACTGGAGCATTGCAGCACACCAGAATACCGGGGGGGGGGGGGGGCTTGAGGGGCTTCAGCCCCCCCCTCCCGAAATTCTCATGGTGGTTCGCGAAAAGGCCTTACTGGTGCATTATTTAAACTGTTATGTTTATTCATATCATGATCTGATCACCATACTCAATATATCCCATATTCATGGGGGTATTGGGGTAATGATACAAAAGGTTTGCTAGGCTAGACCCTCTTTCACTCAGACTCAGCCCCCCCCCCGAAACTCAGCCCCCCCAAACCCCCCCTGAAAAAAATTCAGCCCCCCCCCGAAACGAAATCCTGGCTACGGGCCTGCAGCACACCCAAATATCTGGGAGTCACTCTGGACCATGCCCTGACCTACAAGAAGCACTGCCTGAATATCAAGCAAAAAGTGGATGCTAGAAACAATATAATAAGAAAGCTGACTGGCACAACCTGGGGATCACAACCAGACAATGTTAAGACATCTGCCCTTGCGCTATGCTACTCTGCTGCTGAGTAAGCATTCCCAGTGTGGAATACATCTCACCATGCTAAAACAGTGGATGTGGCTCTTAATGAGACATGCCACATTATCACGGGGTGTCTGTGCCCTACACCACTGGAGAAATTACACTGTTAGCCGGTATTGCACCACCTGACATCCGCCGGGAAGTAGCAGCCAATAGTGAAAGGACCAAGGCAGTGACATCTCCAGCTCATCCCTTGTTTGGGTATCAGCCAGCACGTCAACGACTTAAATCAAGAAATAGTTTTCTAAGATCTACAGAGACACTCGCTGGAACACCCCAGCAAGCAAGAGTCCAAAAGTGGCAGGCCCAAACCCAGAACCTCAATCAATGGCTGATACCAAATGAGACTCCCCCCTGGGCACACAGAAGACTGGGCGACTTAGAAGGCGCTGAACAGACTGCGCTCTGGCACCACGAGATGCAGAGCCAATCTTAAGAAATGGGGCTACAGGGTGGAATTCTCAGCATGTGAGTGTGGAGAAGAGCAAACCACTGACCACCTGCTGCAATGCAACCTGAGCCCTGCTACATGCACAATGGAGGACCTCCTTGCGGCAACACCAGAGGCACTCCAAGTGGCCAGATACTGGTCAAAGGACATTTAATCAACTACCAAGCTTGCAAAACTTTGTGTTTTGTCTGTCTGTCTGTTTGTTTGTTTTGTTAAAAATGTAATACAACTGTCTGGTTGCTCCTGACACGATAAATAAATAAGGCAGAAAATCCCACAATATCTACTTTGAACTGGAATATATGGCAGTGTAGACTCAGATAACGCAGTTCAAAGCAGATATTGAGGGATTTTCTGCCTTGATATTCTGGGATATAGGGCTGTGTGGAAGGGCCCTCAGTCTAAGAGCTGATCTATATGCACCAAACTCAGTGCAAACATTCCTCCGACAACAACGAAGAGGTTTTTAACCCTGAGTCCTGCCCCTGAATCATTTTTAACTTGCCTTAGAAACAAAATTTAACACCTTACATTTACTTTTGTCATTGAAATATAAATGTACAAGCAAATCCCAAATGACTGGGATAGTTTTGCACTGAGTTACACTGCTTCATTCCTAGCACCACTAGAGAGGCCAAGGGAAATACTCACTGTGGCCATCCTTCTCCAGTGGAGACAGTGAAGAGGGTGAGCAAAGCCCAAATGATATTATCATAGTGGAATTCATGGCGCTTCCATTGACGGCATTTCACTTCCATCAGATTTTTCTCATGGTCCACATAGTTGCCTCTGTAATAATGGGAGATGTCATTAGCCTCTAGATTAGCGATTCTATAGAATTTTACAATGGAACAAATTTTCTTTGTATCAGACAATGTCTACCTTTTTTAGTTTCAATTTGCTTAAATTGTCTTATTTGTTTAAAATGTCTTATATGGTTTTATTTTATTGTAATAACAGTAGCAAAATTACAGTTATGAAGTAGCAATGAAAGAATTTTTATGGTTGGGGGTCACCACGACATGAGGAACTGTATTAAGGGGTTGTGGCATTAGGAAGGTTGAAAAGCACTGATCTAAAGGAATCTTTTTGCTGAGTTGCTGAGACACTTACCATCACAAAGTATGACAGGTGGCATCTTTAAAGTACAGAGATGCATGCATTATTGTGATGCATATAGGGGCTTACTGTATGAGTTGTTCTGATTAAATTTGAATTTACAAAATGTGATGCATATTTATTTTATTTACTAGCCACCCCCTGCCACGCGTTGCTGTGGCCCACATGGGGGTTCTGTGTGGGAGGTTTGGCCCAATTCTATCGTTGGTGGGGTTCAGAATGCTCTGTGATTGTAGGTGAACTATAAATTCCAGCAACTACAACTCCCAAATGTCAATTTTCTATTTCCCCCAAACTCCACCAGTGTTCACATTTGGGCATATTGAGTATTTGTGTAGAGTTTGGTCCAGATCCATCACTGTTTGTGTCCAGTGATCTCCAGATGTAGGTGAACTACAACTTCAAAACCAAAGGACACTGCCCATCAATCGCTTCCAGTATTTTCTGTTGGTCATGGGAGAACTGTGTGTCAGGTTTGGTTCAATTCCATCATTGGTGGGGTTCAGAATGTTCTTTGAGTGTAGGTGAACTATAAATCCCAGCAAGGACAACTCCCAAATGACAAAATCAATTTTTGAGTGAAGGACATACATTGGGTTGTTAGGTGTCTTGTGTCCAAATTTGGTGTCAATTCGTCCAGTGGTTTTTGAGTTCTGTTAATCCCACAAACGAACATGACATTTTTATTTATATAGATTATTATTATTATTATTATTATTTGGCAATTTTAAAGGTCAAAAGACTAGATCAGTGGTTCTCAACCTGTGAGTCCCCAGATGTTTTGGCCTACAACTCCCAGAAATTCCAGCCAGTTTACCAGCTATTGGATTTCTGGGAGTTGAAGGCCAAAACATCTGGAGACTCACAGGTTGAGAACCACTGTATTAGAGGAATGAGGGAAATGGCCTCGCATATGGAATAACTGCTACTGGATTGTTTAAAGGAAAGGATGCTAAGAAATTAATTCACTTGGTATACTATCAGGGTGAAGGAGGCAGAAATAAAAACAGGTTACTTAGCAGTATTTGTTATTATTTGAGTTATCCCCTTGCACATGTGGGCTATCTATGCCTGAACAATACATCATTTGGAAAGCTCCAGATTAGGCCTGTGCGATTTGGTTCGTTAATTCGTTAATTCGTTAATAATTCGTTAATTTTACCATTTCCGAAGCGATATTGAAACAAATCTCCAAACCCGGAAGGGTTTATAAATATCGAACCAGCAGCCCCCATAGTATTTACGAGCCTCCGCTCGTTTCGTTAATGGGGTGGAGGCTGCTGGAGTGCTGGTGCATGGGAGCCAATCCGGCGCTCCCAAGCAGTGCACCATGGGTCCGTGGCTGTCTCTTTTTGATTGGCCGGTGAGCCCTTTCAAAGCGGCTCCGCGCGGCCCGTAGCTTGCTGCAGAGGCGAGGGCGAGGGAGTTTGCATTGGGTTGGCTTGGCAATGGCTGCCTGCTAGCAACGAACTGGGATTGGATTCATTCCTTGCTGCTGTGAGTGCTGCTTGCTTCATTTGCTGTCTCTTGCCTGTGTTTGGTCCACATTTGGGCCATTTTTTGGTTAATTGTCCATTTTAAAATATTTTTAATATTATTTTTAATATTATTTTTAATATTATTTTTAATATTATTTTTAATATTATTTTTTAATATTATTTTTTAATATTATTCTTAAAAAATATTCTAAAAAAGAAAAGACTCTTCTGTTGGTGTGTGCTCTCATTTGCTGTATCCTGCCTGTGTTTGGTCCACATTTGGGCCATTTTTTGGTTAATTTTCCATTTTATTTTAAATATTATTTTAATATTATTTTTTAATATTATTTTAATATTATTCTTAAAAAATATTCTAAAAAAGAAAAGACTCTTCTGTTGGTTTGTGCTCTCATTTGCTGTCTCCTGCCTGTGTTTGGTCCACATTTGGGCCATTTTTTGGTTAATTTTCCATTTTATAATATTTTTTAATATTATTTTAATATTATTTTTTAATATTATTTTTTAATATTATTCTTAAAAAATATTCTAAAAAGGAAAAGACTCTTCTGTTGTTGTGTGCTCTCATTTGCTGTATCGTGCCTGTGTTTGGTCCACATTTGGGCCATTTTTGGTTAATTTTCCATTTTTAAATATTTTTTAATATTATTTTAATATTATTTTTTAATATTATTTTAATATTATTCTTAAAAAATATTCTAAAAAAAAAAGACTCTTCTGTTGGTGTGTGCTCTCATTTGCTGTCTCCTGCCTGTGTTTGGTCCACATTTGGGCCATTTTTTGGTTAATTTTCCATTTTTAAATATTTTTTAATATTATTTTAATATTATTCTTAAAAAATATTCTAAAAAAGAAAAGACTCTTCTGTTGGTGTGTGCTCTCATTTGCTGTATCCTGCCTGTGTTTGGTCCACATTTGGGCCATTTTTTGGTTAATTTTCCATTTTAAAATATTTTTAATATTATTTTAATATTATTTTTAATATTATTTTACTATTATTCTTAAAAAATATTCTAAAAAAGAAAAGACTCTTCTGTTGGTGTGTGCTCTCATTTGCTGTATCCTGCCTGTGTTTGGTCCACATTTGGGCCATTTTTTGGTTAATTTTCCATTTTAAAATATTTTTTAATATTATTTTAATATTATTCTTAAGAAATACCAAAAATATTCTAAAAATTCGTTAATATTTACAAAATTTCTTAAATACCAAAACTTTTTTTGGAAAGTTTTGTAATTATTTTAAATATCGAAACAAAAAAACACCCCAATTACAAATCGATTTTAGAAACAAATTTTTTCTTGATCAAACAGGCCTACTCCAGATCACTCACCCTGGTGTACATGTTTATGTAAGCTCTGGTAAACATGCTTTAACAACTCAAGGGAAGAACTTGCCAGTCTGCCAATATTCTTGTAAAATTGTACAGGTCACTGTACAAAGTTCTGGGAGACTATTGGGAATTCGGGTTTTTTTCCTCTTTGAGTAGAACACAAAAGGTTTTTTTAAGGGCCTGTAAGATTTAGTATGGTCAGCACAGAGGCCATATCAAATGAATACAAAGCATACTTTATTGTTTTATTGTCGGTTTTTACCGGCATTGAATTTTTGCTGTAAGCTGCCTTGAGTCCCCTGTGGAGTGAGAAAGGTGGTGTATAAATGAAGTGAATAAATAAATACTTTAGCCTTGATTAAAGAGAAAAACAGAAAGTGGGTCTCTATGTTCTCTTGTTTTCCAGATGGACCATACCATAAGTAGCTTTTGCTATTCTACAGCTATAGAATAGACATCAGATTATTGAAATCGTTGTATATATTTGGATATTAAAAACTGTAGTTTGAGAGTTTCTTTGAGACCAAGGTTCAAATTCTTTGAGACCAAGGTTCAAATTCCTGCTCTATCATAAAAACCCAAGTCACAATCTTTCACAGCATCAGAGGAAGGCAATACACCTAAACAAAGCTTTCCACCCACACCTAGACACATTGGAAGGTTTCATGCAGTTCTGTGTTTGTTGTTGTTGTTGTTGTTGTTGTGTGCCTTCAAGTTCTTAATTATGGCAACCTTAAGGTATTAGGGTTGCCATAATTTAGAACAGGGGTCCTCAAACCAAGGCCCGGGGGCCGGATGCGGCCCTCCAAGGTCATTTATGGTAGTCCACGCTCTGGTTACATCCCGTATAGACTACTGCAATGCTCTCTTCTTGGGGCTACCTTTGAAGGCTGCCTTTGAAGACTGTTAGCTGTAAATCACCTAGAGCATTCTTGGATGGAGGACGATTAATAAGTAATTACATATGATGATGATGATGATGATGATGATCAGAAGCTTCAATTGGTCCAAAGGACAGCAGCCAGGTTGTTAACAGGAGCGGCACTCAGGGAGCGCACGACTCCTCTGTTGCTCCAGCTCCACTGACTGCCAGTTTGCTACCGGGCACAATTCAAAGTGCTGCCTTTAGCCTTTAAAGCCCTAAACGGTTCTGGCCCGGTTTACCTGTCCGAACGCATCTCTTCCTATGAACCATCTAAGTGTTTAAGATCTTCCGGAGAGGCCCTGCTCTCGGTCCCGCCTTCCTCGTAGATCCGGTTGGCAGGAACGAGAGGCAAGGCCTTCTCAGCGGTGGCCCCTCGGCTATGGAACACCCTCCCTAGGAACATTAGATTGGTCCCCTCCCTCCTGACATTTCAAAAGAGAGTTAAAACCTGGCTATTGGAGCAGGCATTTGCAGACGCAGTATAACTGATTGAGTGAGAATCATGGAATGGCGAGATGATGCGACAGAAAATTATTTTAATGATGAGACGCTGAGATTTGTATTTTATGCTTTTAATTGCTAATTGTTTATTGTTTTTTACATGGTTATTTTATATGTAATTGTTTTTGACTGTATTTTTATCTTGTAGGGCATTGATTGCCAAATGTAAACCACCTCGAGTCACCTTCAGGCTGAGAGGGGCGGTATACAAATATAGTAAATAAATAAATAAATAAATAAATAAATTTGCTGGCCCTCACTCAGGGTCAACCTAAGTCTGAAACGACTTGAAAGCACACAACAACAACAATCCTATCTCATCACCCAAAAGTAGGCCCACACTTCCCATTGAAATACTAATCATTTTATATTTGTTAAAATTGTTCTTCATTTTAATTATTGTATTGTTTTAAGTGTTTTTTGCACTACAAATAAGATATGTGCAGTGTGCATAGGAATTCATTCATTTTTTTTTCAAATTATAATCTAGCCCTCCAACAGTTTGAGGGACTGTGACCTGGCCCTCTGTTTAAAAAGTTTGAGGATCCCTGGTTTAGAACATGAAGGTACACAATAACAACAAGCATAGAACTGCATGCTCAAAAAAGAAAGAAAATCCCTGCAAAATAAGAATTAGAACTGAATGAATTAAGAATCACCAAGAGACCTCCTCCAATCTCTGAAAAATTATTTATTTATTTTTATTTACTGTATTTGTATATTGCCTTTCTCAGCCAAATGGCGACTCAAAATGAGGACTAAAATGCATTTTTTCGCTTTAAGACCTCTGGACAGAATTCTTTCTGAAATAAACTTGTCTTCCCATCAGTCTGAACTAAAACAGGCGCATTCAAAAGTGAACCTGTGGTCTCTACCTACTCAAGAGGATAATTTTAAAAATAATGATAGTAGTTTAACCTTTTAAAAAGCTAAGCTACTAATTGAAAACTCTTAAGGACCCCTGAGCTCCTACGATGTATACAATCCTGAAAGAAGGCTATTGTGGGATTTAGTGTGGACCGCTCCAAATATTTCCTAGAAGAAAGTGTACAAAAATCATTTGTGATTAGATATATAGTTGTTGTAGGTTTTTACAGGTTATATGGCCATGTTCTAGAGGCATTCTCTCCTGACGTTTCGCCTGCATCTATGGCAAGCATCCTCAGAGGTAGTGAGGTCTGTTGGAAATAGGAAAATGGGTTTATATATCTGTGGAATGACCAGAGTGGGACAAAGGACACTTGTCTGTTGGAGCTAGGTGTGAATGTTTCAACTGAACACCTTAATTAGCATTTGATGGCCTGGCAGTGCCTGGGGGAATCTTTTGTTGAGAGGTGACTAGATGTGCCTGATTGTTTACTCTCTGTTGTTTTGCTCTTGTAATTTTAGAGTTTTTTTTAATATTGGTAGCCAGATTTTGTTCATTTTCATGGTTTCCTCCTTTCTGTTGAAATTGTCCACATGCTTGTGGATTTCAATGGCTTCTCTGTGTAGTCTGACATGGTGGTTGTGAGAGTGGTCCAGCATTTCTTCTCTCATTTCTGCAAGAGTCTACCGTATACCATGCAGCTGTGGATAAGTCTACATAGGGACCACCAAACGCAGCATTGCCCAAACACGAATCAAGGAACATGAAAGGCACTGCAGACTACTTCAACCAGAGAAGTCAGCCATAGCAGAGCACCTGATGAACCAACCTGGACACAGCATATTATTTGAGAACACAGAAATGCTGGACCACTCTCACAAAAACCATGTCAGACTACACAGAGAAGCCATTGAAATCCACAAGCATGTGGACAATTTCAACAGAAAGGAGGAAACCATGAAAATGAACAAAATCTGGCTACCAATATTAAAAAGCTCTAAAATTACAACAGCAAAACAACAGAGAGTAAACAATCAGGCACATCTAATCACCTCTCAACAAAAGATTCCCCCAGGCACTGCCAAGCCATCAATTAAGGTGGTCAGTTGAAACATTCACACCTAGCTCCAGCAGACAAGAGTCCTTTGTCCCACCCTGGTCATTCCACAGATATATAAACCCTTTTTCCTATTTCCAACAGACCTCACTACCTCTGAGGATGCTTGCCATAGATGCAGGCAAAACGTCAGGAGAAAATGCCTCTAGAACATGGCCATATAACCCAGAAAAACCTACAACAACTCAGTGATTTCGGCCATGAAAGCCTTCGACAATACATTAGATATATAGTTAGACTATTCTGCTGTACTTACATGCAATCTTTCTCTGTATCTTTTGAGCTGTCTGTACAGTAGAAGAATTTGCCCTTGAAGAGCTGGACTGCAATGACGGCAAAGATGAACATGAAGAGCTTGTAGACAATTAGTATGTTGAAGACATTCTTCAGTGATGTTACAACGCAATCAAAGACTGCCTGAGAGGGAGGCAAACCCATAAGGTGTGATTCATCGTATGCAAATAATAACACTTTTCTCAAAGAGGACATAAGGGGCCTGAAAGGTATCATTAGTCAAGGTGTTTTCAAGTGTTTTCTTTTCCACATCAAGGTGAACATCTGATACGGGAAACACCAAAAAGCAAAAATGTCTACGATAATTAGCCATTTATAATCTTCCGTATTCTTTACTATCACAAGTATTTACAAATGTAATGTTTAACTCACATTGATTATAGTACTGATGTGGAGATATTGGAAAAATAGATATTTATTGATTTATGTATAAATTGTATGTACTTTACAAGCACTGAAATTCATAGAAAAATCAAGTTCTCTCTGTATTAAAAAGAATCCTGAAGGAGATCTGTGTCCAAGGCATGGCAGGAGAGAGGAGAAGGGGGGCATGTTATCTATACATTCCAGGAGATAAGCCCGTACTAGGAACCACAGGCTGCTACTAAGTAAGGAGCCTCTTGACAGGTCAAAGTGGGCCCCTTTGATGGATGAATGTAAGCCATGCTTGCTCTTTAGAAACACAGACATGCCTTCTTGCATGTTAGAAGGTAGAATTTGATGCTAAGATGACGTAGTGAGTGACGTTAATGTATGTAGATACATGTTTCTTTGTTTGACTCCGATTGGAAACTACAAAAGACAAGTCAGACCCTTGATCGGGGCTCTGGTTTGCTTTTGGGATGCTAGTCCACACCAGGGCCCCAGCTGGAAATAAATCCGTGCTTTTTTAAGACCTCCGGACCTCTCTTTGTCTCTTTTCCTGAAACCTTTTCCCTACCATTTCAGTACAACATGCTACAGGGTGAGGAAATATTAAGTTGGAACTCTGGATGCTATAGGCCAACTGTTATTCTTCATGACAATCCTGTGAGTAGCACCTCCTCTTTTACTTTGCATGTGCATGTATGAAGAAGAGTAAAAAAGGGACAGAGAGGCAAAGAACTATATGATCCTGTTACTATGGCTTATTTTGCTTCTGGTTCCCCTCACCAACAAACTTGTCCCCTTTCACCATTTTATGCAACCTTCTGATTGACTATTCCCATGGATTAATGACTCCCCACCAGAAACTAATCTCACATTGATGTTTTAACCAAAAGGATAGACTCTACTAGAAGCAGCACTTCCAGCAGAAAAATGAAGCTGTTTGACAGCCTTATGGTTATTTCTCATACAGCACAGGGCTACTACTTGTAAATGAGTGTTTCTAACAACTGGGTCAAAAAAGAGAAGACAATCAGATACAGGTCTCCTTATTCCAATTTAAATTGGCTTAACTGTTATTATATCTGCCCGAAACATCTTGAGAACTGAACTTTGCAAAGAGATAAGGGTTACCAAACTGCAGTTCTTTGAATTATTTGGGAGAAGCCATGGGAATTAAAGTGTTAAAGTGTTTTCAATAATTAACTTGTAGTAGACGCTAGGTTTGTTTGATCCCCCCCCCCCCCCAAAATGGTCCAAAACTTGTTTTGGATGTAGGGGGCGCTGGTGGTTCAATTCTAAAGTCACTTCCTTAAAAAAAATTTTTTTCAAAACTTTCCAAAACTTCCGAAATGCCTTTCCTTCACAAACTACAACAATGGCTGTGCTTAGGCATGCTCACCTCATCCCTCCTTTGCATCGCCCGGGAGGGGAAGCAAAACTTGACAAAAGTTGTTTAATGCTTGTGAAAATTAAAATAACCTTGGGAGACTTCCGAACATTACAAAATATTTATGAATAAAAAGGGTAAGTGGTTCAAATCGTAATTATTAGGGCTGGTCAATTCGTTTTGTTAATTCGTTAAAAAATTCATTAATTTTTGAATTACAAAGCGATAACAAATCAGTCTGGAGCATTTTTTAAAAAAAACAAATTTTTAAAGCTATTTTGTAATTGTTTTGTAATTGTTTCGTTATTATTTCAGCTCCTGGCTGCAAAGGGGCCCGAGCAGGGGCAAGGAGAAGGGAAGGCAGGCGAGAGAGAGAGACTGAGCGAGCAAGCTCCCTTCCCGGCCTGGCTTCCTCCCCTCGCTCCCCTGGCTCCCCCCGCCCCCTTCTTCCCCCTTTTCCCGGCTCACCTGGGCATGCGCACACCCCACACATGCCCGGCCCGGCGCAGGGGTGGTCCGGCGTGCCCGCTCGGCGGGGCCCTGGCATCCGCCGCCCTGGGAAAGAGAAAGACCTCCGCCCAGCAGCAGCGGCAAGGCCGCTGACTCCCCCGATCGCCTCCCCCGCCGGGAAAAGGAAACGCAGGAGGAGGCGCAGCAACAGCAGCGGAGCAACCACCCGATTCTTCTCTCTCCCTCTCTCTAAAGTGGTATGTGTGCCGCCTCTATCTCTCGCTGTGCGCGCGCTGCGTGCGCGAGACGGAGGCGACCGCGCGGGTGGGAGGGAGGGAGAGGGAGAGATAGAGAGGGGGCGGACTAAATTAGCCCTATGATTTAAGCCCTATGAGATTTAAGCCCTATGAGGAGCAGCTGAAAGAGCTAGGCATGTCTAAACTATTATTAAAAACTAATATTTTCATGTTGCACAACCGCGTCCGCCATCTTAACGAATCAATTCGTTAATAATTACGAAATTTCGTAAATACCGAAACTTTTTTAGGGGAAAGTTTTGTAATTATTTTAAATATCGAAACAAAAAAACACCCCAATTACAAATCGATTTTAGAACCAAATTTTTTTCTTGATCGCCCAGGCCTAGTAATTATACCTCTTACTTTTCCTGCATGGTTCAAAATTGATTCGGAAGACCAAATTCAGTAGGTTTTAACAAATTTAAGGTTTTAACGAAGCGAACCTAAACAAGTCTAGTAGACGCAGCCAAACCATACCAACAAATGTCATGGTCCATACAACTGTTAAAGGAACAAGTATTCTTTTCTCCTTTGCTTTTGGTTTACCGTAACAGAACAAGGGATCTCTTAAACCTGTGATGGCGAACCTATGACACGTGTGTCAGCACTGACATGCATATCCATTTTCGATGACACACGGCCACATACACAGAAGAATGGGGTCGCATCCCGAGAAGGACATTTCATCCTCGGCTCCTACACCAGCATTTTTCTATAATGCCGAGATATATGGCATTATAGAAAAAAGCAGGTAAGTTAAATAATTAGTTTTTTGGTTTATTAAATACAGTTATATATTACAATAATATATTTTTGTTATAATTGTTTTTTTTTTCTTGAAGTGACACCCCACTTGAGTTATTCTCAGTTTTTTGGCGAGTTTTGACACACCAAGCTCAAAAGGTTGCCCATCACTGTAATCTAATAGTGACAGTCATCACCATTTATATATTTCTCAAATTGGAACCAATCTAAATAAAGAGAGTGAGTGAAAAGAACCATACCTTGAGTTTTGGCAGCCTCTTGATGGTCTTCAATGGTCTCAAGACTCGGAGAACACGAAGAGACTTGATAGTTTTAATGTCCCGACCTTTGTTGGTCCTGCACAATTGGAAGGAGAAACAACCCATCCAAAATAACAAGACAAAAGGAAGAGAACAAAATGAACCTTCCAAAGACAGAGTGAACTTACAATTAAAAGAATGATGCAGAAAGAGATCTTTCTGAAATACCTTATTATTTTAAAAAGCCCACATATAATGTTGAATGATTTTTTTTAAAAAGCTTGTATCTTCTGGAGACAGATTTTCCAGGGCTCATAACAGACCATTCTACAGAGTAGTTTATATATTATGTGCTTAAATTCATTATTTTCCTAAGAACTTACTCCCACCCTTATAGCTGTGCACAACTAGGCATATCAAGTATGCCCAACTTTGCATAATATTGGACGAGAAGTGTGAAGAAGTGCTTGTTACTATGAGTGCTTAATGCAGATGGGTAATCATCCTGCCAAACATGTAATTCCTTGGAAGGAAATTTACTGTGACACAATGAACAGTTTTTCTCTTGCTCTGTACTTTTATATTTTGTGTAGGGGGCTGATATGAAGAAGACACAAAAGAACACCACATTGCCATTTCTTTTCCTTGCTTTGAGTTCTTTCACTGCTATTGATCATGATTTCCATAATTTCCATAACATTTATACACTTTGGAAGCAGATTGCAGAGCTTGAAAAGTTTTCTTTTTGGGGCTATAATTCCCACAGCCTTGAAGCCGCAATGGCTACTGATCTTTCTGAATTCCATTACAGATTTGAATCTGGCTGGTAGGCTGCCATACCAGAAAGCTTGTTGTAGCAAGGGAGAGAGCGATTTTCCTCTTTAAAAACCTCTTTACTACCTTATACTGATTCAGTTTCTTCTTTTATATTGGCCAGGACTTTCTGTGTACTGTTAAACCTTTGTATTTTATATCACAGGCAATGAAACACTCTTGTGTATAACGAAATAACACAGTTTATTTATAACTTCTGGCTCCAACGCTTGTGGTTACATTTGTGTTTTGTTGCAATCTTGAGGCTTACAGTCAGTATCATTTACTTGGTTAACTTTCCTGAATAAGCTATCAATGTTTCACATTCACAAACATGTTACTTGCTTTACACACTCTTGGCTGAATTATATTTTGAACTAAGGCAACACTATTCTTCTTTATGTTCCTTAAAACTCAAGATCTATTTAACTAACTGCTTCTCTATATCAGAAGTCTTTAACACATCTTCATAACTGCTTATTTCTATCAGACACTCAAAAACCAACTCTCCTCTTCAAACACAGATTCCTGTCATTTTCAAACTCCCACACTCTAACTGCCTCTTTCAGACCCTTGGCTCCGCCCCTTTGGAATGTTCAGCTTTGCTCTTCCCCAACTGTCATTTTGGCCTAACAGCCTTTTCAAATCCTGGGCCTACATTATTCTGCATATGACCAATCCCATATGCAAATGAATCCTATCTCTGCTGTTGCTTCCCTGTCTGTGCCTATTCTTCCTTATCTGCCATATGTAAACATAAAGCTATACACCAAAACTTCAACATAGAGTAGCAATTTCACTACACTTGTCTTCCATGAGTACGGAGTTCTTGGGGGCCCACATAACACAATCTTAAAACCATGCCCAGAAACGAGCAAAGTTACCTTTTAGAAGGGCGACATTTGACCTCTCTCAACAATTCATGCTTTCCCAAGCATTGACTATGGTTCATGTTTAAGTAATAATATAGCAAGAAGATGGTATAATATTAACATTACAAAATCCTTGGTTTTTCCTCTTAGGTACTCTTTTAGTTGGTTCCAGTTTGTTGGCTTTTCATTACTCTGTTCCCTTAGTAAGTAAGAAAGCCTATCCAGATCCATATATTCTACTATTTTCTTAACCCAATCCTCACTGGAAGGGATTTTTTTCATTTTCCATTTTTGTGCAATTAATATTCTTGCCGCTGCTGACAAATAAAAAAAGCTGTTTTCCTCATTTTTCTTTAAATCAAGATTTGTTATGTTCAACAAATAATATTCAGGTTTCATATCGAATTTTGTTTTAATTATATTTTGTGTATGTTTATGGACCAAAGTTCAAAATTTTTGGATCTCCTTACAACTCCAGAATAAATGATAGTAAGTTCCCGTTTCATTCCTGCATTTCCAACATAAACTATCGAGTTTTTCATTAAATTTAGAAAGTTGGACAGCTGTCAAATGCCATCGATGGAACACTTCAAGCCAGTTCTCTAATATGTTCATGGCTTTTGTGAACTTTTTTGTAAACTTAATATTTAAAATTCGCCACTACGAATTAACCTCGATTATGGTGCGAATGAGACTATAAGAAGACATAAGCAACTCAACGCCCGCACCTCTGTGGACTGAACTGGAAGTCCTTGATTATATATATATATATTCGTTTCTCTATCTCTTTTTCTTTTGGTTCTTAACACATCCTCTCTCCCCCACACTACCTTACCCCTCCCTCAATTTCCTACTTTCCTGTCACGTGGATTGTTCTCCCTCTTTCCTTGTTGAAGAAAAATCTCAATAAAATTATTATATATATATAAAAAACAAAATCCTTGGTCACCTGGATCAGGAAGTCTAAGGCTATAAAAACCAAAACAAAAAACCCATTCTCCCCTTGCAAGAGTATTCTCTTATTGCTAGAACTGACTGGTGCTTTCAAATGCTATTATTGTGAGCAAGAATGAGATAACAAGGTTAAAATGGGTGATCTGACACTCTTGCTGAGCAAAACCATCTGTCACCAAAGGCACTGTGCCACTAGGCTCAAAGCGTCATATGCTTACATGCCTGGTAGGCCTAAGCAATTATCTCGCTCATACTTCATCAAATTGAAATAGCAAAATGTCTCATTGCTCAGGATGGTTTAATACACAGTTCTACCAATTATTATAGCAGAAACAGCATTACTTCCTTCTACATAGATTTAAGTTGTCATTGGTATGAGATGGCATAGTTAAATTCTAAAACTCTTCCACGCAAGTTAGAAAGACAAAACTTTTAATCTACCCATGGGTATTTTTGGAAAGGGATGGTGGAATACAAAATAATAGCCAGATCCTCAAATAAGAAAGCACACAGAAAGCTTCCCAATTCTTCCTTAAAGGTTTACTCCATGGAGTACTGGAGGGGGAATGGGCAGGAGAGGGAAGACCATCTTGGAGAGTCTTCTCATATCTGTGGGTTTTTTTTTATCGTGTCAGGAGCAACTTGGGAAACTGCAAGTCGCTTCTGGTATGAGAGAGAATTGGCCGTCTGCAAGGACGTTGCCCAGGGGACGCCCGGATGATTTGATGTTTTTATCATCCTTGTGGGAGGCTTCTCTCATGTCCCCACATGAGGAGCTGGAGCTGATAGAGGGAGCTCATCCGCCTCTCCCCGGATTCGAACCTGCGACCTGTCGGTCTTCAGTCCTGCCAGCACAGGGATCTAACCCACTGCGCCACTGGGGGCTCCATCTGTGGGGTAAAAAAGGATAACATATAGGATTTTGGAAACTTAGGATTTTGCTCTTTCAGGAAGACACCAATCTTGCCTGTTTAAGGAGCTCCATTGGCTGCCGATCATCTTCTGGTCCCAATTCAAGGTGCAGGTTCTTACCTACAAAGCCCTGAACGGTTTAGGACCCACCTACCTGCGTGACCGCATTTCTGTTTACGAACCCACGCAATCTCTTCATTCATCTGGAGAGGCACTGCTCTCACTCCCGTTCCCTTCGCAGGCGCAATTGAGGGGGACAAGGGAGAGGGTCTTCTCTATGGTGGCCCCCCGACTCTGGAACTCTCTACCTAAAGATATCAGACACGCCCCCACATTGGCAGTCTTTAGGAGGAGCTTGAAAACATGGCTGTTCCAGTGTGCCTTCCCTGAATGAAGGAAATAATGCCCGATCTGACCAATTTCCTTCTATACATCCTCTGAAGCACTTTATCAATCCTTTGGATTGATCCCCCCATATCACTTTTTAAAACCCCCATGCTTAGACATACCCTACTCTGTACATGCTCAGGGTTTTAAAATTTTAATTCTACATCTGGCCCTGCCAGAATGTTTTTAAATCTGTTGTGTATTATTGCTTATATGTTCAACTGTATTATTTATATTGTTTTATTTGCTTGCTTGTTTGTTGATGTATTGTTGTATCTGTATTTGATGGGTTTGGCCTCATGTAAGCCGCCCCAAGTCCCTTCGGGTAGATGGTGATGGGGTATAAATATATTATTATTATTATTATTATTATTATTATTATTATTATTATCATTATCATTCTTGCAATGGCTTCTTTTTGAAGTTTCTTAAAACAATTACTCTAAATCTGGAATACAACAGCCATTTCGTATGCCCCCCTCCCTCCCTTAGCAGATTTCAAGAAAAACTTGAAACCCTGGCTTTTCCAATGTGCCTTCGGAGAGTGACGATTTATTCCACTTCTGTTTGCCCCATCTATAGTGTTGCCTCTATGTTGCATTCTCCAATGCCCTAGACTGAAAGCCTTATGTGAGAGGTCCTGCTCACGATCCCACCTGTGTCGCAAGCACGATTGGTGGGGACGAGGGACAGGGCCTTCTCCGTGGTGGCCCCCCGACTCTGGAACTCTCTCCCCAAGGACATCAGACAAGCCCTAACATTGGCAGTCTTTAGGAAGAGCTTGAAGACGTGGTTGTTCCAGTGTGCCTTCCCAGAATAGGAAACTCCAAGCATCATGTCCCAAATGCACTTTATTAGAGATTTAAGATTGTCTGCACATTGCACCTATCTCCAAAAACCTATCCATTTCACCTGTCATGCCCAGCATTTTAAATTTTTTAATTTTTACATTGGCCTGGCCTTAGTTTTAAATGTGTCATGGTGTTATCATCTAATGTTTATTGCTATTGTTTTAATGTTTATTGCTTGTTTTATGAGTTATTTATTGTTGTATTGTTATGCTGTTGTTTTACTGATGTGTTGGGCCTCGGCCTTTTGTAAGCTGCACCGAGTCCTTCGGGAGATGTTAGCGGGGTATAAATAAAGGATTATTATTATT